GCGACTGAAAAAATCGCACAGTGTCTGTCCAGCATAACATGCAGTGACGACGAACCTGCTGTTCGTCAGTGATTATACCAGTCAGAACACACATACAACTAAAGCACCAGATCACCAGTTTTTACATGGATTCTGTACTAACAGTGAAAATATGATTAATCAAATCGAAGTAAAAGATTAGAGTTAAAATGATGATTCAGAGCATGATTTGCCTGCATTTCTCAGTGTAAACTTCTAAATTGAGAGTTTTAGTTTTAGACATTTTAATCCATCTCTTACTATACAACTCAAGAAATTTACAGACACTCAGAGATTACAATCATGATTTTCAGGTTTTTGCCCAGCCTAAAATAACACAGTAAGGTTGACAGATGGCGTTGCTTTCTGCTTGATTTTTCTCTTCAGAGGATGACAGACAGACACTAGTGACCGACAACTTACAAACATGTGAGTATTTGACCGTCCTCTCTCAGCCTGTAGTGGTGCTTGATTGTGTTTTTACTGAAATATATTTGTGTGCTGTCTGTGTTTGAGCTTTTCTTTCATTCAGCTATAGCTTGAGTCACTTGTTGAATGCTGAGACTGCACGTCCGGTGTTGTGTTCACGCTGTCAGTCTGTCACTTTTACACCTTCTGTTGTGTCATCTTCTGCAAAGCTGGATTAAATAACTCTGGCAGATGTCAGGCTGTCTGTTCATTGAAACATGGGCAAACTCTTTGTGCTAAATAAACTCCAGTTAATATGAAAAATAAATGGCCATATCTTTATCTGGTATATAATTGTAATATTTTCAACACACTGAAACTTCATGTCTTGTCATTGTGGCTCGTAAATGCAATCCTGCTGCAGGATTACACTTAAAGTTGCAGTGTAGTGAGAGCCAGAGTGCTTTTTAATCACTGATGTCTAATTACAAGCATAAAAAACCCTAAACACATTAGCTAAGTGATGCAAACATGCGTTTTTGTTCCCTCAGACATCCGTTGGGCTTGAGGAGTTTTTTGTTCTTTTCCAGCTCTTGTGTTTGTAATCCCTAAATATTTGACTTAAACAGGAAGCCAAATCAAACTCACCCCAGCATCCCTTTACAACGGCCTGCTTCGTAATTGTAGGAGTTGTAACCTAAACACACATCTGAACAATTCTTCTTAAATTTGTATTTATCTTTTACATTTCTTTTTGCTATTTGTTTTTTTTTCTTTTTTTTTTTTAGACAGCAGCGTTGTTGCCCCAGGAATCCATGTCTACCCATTCAGCTTTCAGTTCCCCTTCCAGTAAGAAACATTTCTTTAAATGGTTGCAGTGTTAGTAAGAACAAACAGACAACCTCGTGTTTTGTTACTGCTGTGGTTCCAGAAAAGTAAGTGAACACACTGAGGTTGTGTATACATTAAAGCAACATTAATATACTGAAGTTTTAGATACGTACATGTATGAATGTGGGCAGATAACCACCAGTAATTTTATCATTAATTGATTCGTGACTTGGTGAATGTATCAAGTCTGAATTCTGAGCTTGAGTTGATTCAGATATTTGAACACTCACGGGTCCATAACTCCCTAAACATTCACGGCACAGCTGTAAATCCAAGGATTCGCCTGATTTCACCGCCAGCAGGAATGTCGCTGGCAGTGCATAAAGGGAGTGTTCTAAAACATGTAAAAAGTGTCAGCATAGCATTAGCTTGAGCCAGTTGTGTTTGCAAACTGGAAGAACATCAGAACATATTTTATTTATTAAGTGCTGAAAAACCGTTAATCCCAAAGGGCTTCACTCGTAATTGTTCTGTTTATGGCTGCTGTATTGTTTATTTTGATATAAAACATTTTATTAAGTCATTTAGAAAATGTGAAAAGCTGTGTGTATTTTACAAGAAAGTGATCAACTCATCGCAGTTCTGTGGGCTTTGGTGTTTGTTCAATAGGGATTTACCCTCCTCCTTCAAAGGTGCTGATGGTAAAATTGTGTACTCGCTGGAAGCCGTGCTGAGCAGATCAATGAGGATGAACACGAAACGTTCAACTATGGTCAACTTTGTGTCAACGACAAATGTGAACAGTATATCTTGGTTACAGGTATGTGTGTTATCTCATTTGCAGTCATTCCAACAAAGTTGGCACAACCACAGAACAAACAAAACAAAAAACAAGGGGTGAGTGGGCGGCAATAACCTACCCAGTGTTTAGACCTGCTTGGACATGTATTGAGCAACTTGTTTCAGTATTTGCATTCAGAGTGCTCACCTTGTGAAAACACTGGTTTTAAAGGCACCAAACATAGTCTTACTGGAAAGGGCCACTGGCTTAGCTTTGAGATCAATGTGGCTGAAGTCTATTAAAGTTAATATATCTCTGCTTTTGGGAGAATTTAAGTGCATTTGTGCTAGAGCAGGGCGATGTGACCAAAAATATTTATCACGATATACATTTGAAAATTTGCAATAATGATATAACTGACGATATAATTGACACTAGACAAAATACTTTACAACTCCACAACTTTATTAGTGCAAAAAAACCAAACAAACATCAATTTATTCTCACTTGAACAAGCAGCTGTTTGTTATGTGTTTTAAAGTTATATAAAAATTTAACAGTGCAAATACAAATTCCTTGCTGACAGTTTAACCAAAAGGCATTTCCAGTGGAAACTGGTCGACATATCCTCAGCATAACCATGTATAATATCCACAAAACCTAAAAAGAGATTATACACAATACAGTAATATTATGTTGAAGCGCAGTACGTATCACTCCGCGAGGCTCCTGCCTACGATAGCCGTAATGCTCCGACAATCCATCAAGCGGTGCGGGTTCGTAGCTTAGCAAAGTCGTACTAAAACATTTGACAGATTTTCGAGCGCCGTGTACAACATAAAATCGTTTTGAGGTCAGTAAACACAACCAGAATCCAAACATAAGGCACACGGGATTATAAGGGGTACTGTCGATTTTCAGAAAAATCAAATGATTTATTTTAAGTGTGCCGTATTTTCCAAAAAGCACGGTAATAACGACGGCCCGCTAGCATGCTCTACCAAAAATAGTGTTTTGTTGTGTATCTGACGGACGAAAGCTAAACCAGTTCCACACCACTGAAGTTGCAGCATTTTTACAAACCAATTCTGGTTCATCAGTTTCATTCAACGATCCGCTTTCACCCTTCTCATTCTGCGTCGGCGCCGTATGCGTATGAAAACAAAGGCACTGCGCATGCGTCTTTTACCCATATTTTATCGCGATATTTAATTTTCTTATCGTTGCCCAACATTATACCGGTATTACCGTGAACAGTATGATATGGCCCATCCCTAATTTGTGCTACATTCTTGTTTTTCTTTCAGACACCGCTGCATGACTCTAAGGATAAGAAAATGAACATTTTTACCTCAGGAAGTGTAGCCATGGATGTTAATCTTGAAAAAATGGGCTTCCGACAAGGTGAGAGGCCTGCAGGTGATACTGACATGTATTTGTTTAAAGAAAAGGTCAGGTTTGACTTTTCCGCTCGGTATTGCAGGAGAAGGATTAAAAGTTGTGGCCTTCATTAAGAACAGTTCATCTCGTGAGATCAAGCCCAAGTACTGTTTGTACAGAAAGCACAGTTTCTTTGCAAGAGGGAAGAGAAGGGTCCATACTAAAGACCTCTTGAAAGAGGTGGGAGACGCCATCCCGCCATCTGCAGAAGAAACCGTCACAAGGGTCATCATCATTCCCCGTGACGTGGAGCCCTCGATCCTCAACTGCAACATCATCAAAGCTGAGCACAGACTCAGGGTAAGCAGCTTGAAAAATGTTTGCTAGAAACTGCAGTGAGTCTTAAAACTGTATTAATCGTTTCAATACAAGTTAGTTATTCCACAGTACTGTCCAAAATTATTGATCCACAAAAGGATTTCTTTAAGTAGTCTTCAGAAATAGCTTTTTTTTGGAGGTCTGCTTCCTTTTCTTCTGTTCTCCATTAACATGATTCCACACTGCTTTTGTAATGTTGAGGTTCAGGCTCCAGGTAGGCCAATCCATACTAATGGCGTTGTTTGTGATCAAATGAAAAATGAAGCAATCCAATCAGGAAGCCAAGGAGGTACAGGACTTTTTCCTCTTTCTGTCTTTGTTTGCATCAATATAATCTTGCTTCCCTGTTTAGTTGTGCCTCTCTTCCCGTTTTATTTTGGTTATTATTTCTCTCTGTGTCCTCTGTGGGTTTTACTTCCTTTGTCTCATTATTTGGTTTCAGCTGTACTTCTGCCCTCATCACATTCTGTCTGCCAGTCTGTAACTTGAACTGCTTTATTGTCACACTGGAGATCAGTCACCAGATCAGCTAACAGCCCAGATCTAAGTTGTGCTAACTTAAAATGGTTCAAGAAGGAATGCTCTGTTCCTCGAAAGAAAATGCATTTCATTTTACTTTGGTGAGAACTTGTTAATTTGTTTTTTGAAATTCTGTAGTAGAAATGCACACATTAAACAAAAAGGAAAAAAGATACTTTCTAGATAGAATGTAAATTTAAATGGAAAACTGGTTCTTTGCTACGCTTTTTTTTTTTTTTCCCCCTAGTGTGAGTAGGCACTGGTTCATTCCTTGAGTTACCTAGCTTTCCTTTTCATGCATTAATTATTCATAGCTCAGTGTTAAGCATTTCAGCAAACAAAAAACATTCATCCTTTATTCCTCTTAAAAGGATTCAACTAAAAATGAATGGGGGGGAAAAAAAACAGCCAGCATCAAAAAAAGGAAACTGAAAGACTTTAAGAAAACCTGACAAACTATTTCTCAAGACCACTTTAGAAATTACAAGAAAGGAACCGGTGGGTGGTTCAAGACTTTTGTACATTACTGCATGTAAACTCCAAACCAAAAGTTCATTTGAGGGGCTTTACTGCTAAAATCCTAACAAGAAATATAGAAAAGATCTGTAATGTAACTGATCACATCAATGTTGATGTGATCAGAAAAAATAAGCAAGATGGTATGAATGTTGTGAGCAATAGCGCAGCAGAGCGCTATTTAAAGCTCTCTGTCGGTTCTTTATTTTATGCAATGAAAGACTTTTGTTTAAAGCTGCTGAAAGCGTTTGAACACAATTGTCACGCTTTGTTCGTTTGTTTGAGAAAAGTGTTTGCTTTGCACGCATGTGAACACAGTATTGTATAGAGCATAGTGGAAAACTGTCGGCACATAGGTTGTCTTTATAGAGCAAAGCTCCAGTGTCTGCCATGGTTTATTGACTCATTTTACTGAAAAGCAATAATGTAAACAAAAGACTTATGTGACATAAGAACCTACTAGTAGTAACTGAGGACAGCAGTTATATTTGTGTTAATGGGTAACATCTGCAGCTCAAAACCAACATAACCTGTGTGAAAGGGTTGAGCTACAAAATGATCAAACTTTTAATTAATACTAAAATAAGCATAAGCTGAGATACATGAAGTCCGTAACCAAAGAAAAGGCTGATAGATTTTACCTGTTGAACATGTTCTTAAAAACAGAGGATTGGTTCAGTTCTGCAAATATTGAGTAACTTTAAACAATCTAACGTGTTTTACAGGTGTACCTTGACGTAAAATATGCTTCAGATCCAGAGATCAAGTTTCCTGTAGCCATCCTGCCAGCCTTCCAGGCCTATCCTGCAGTGCCACCACACTATCCTGCTGCTGCTGCTGCTACCCCCTTTGGATTCAACCCGAACCCGAACCCTCCAGTGTGGGGTTTTGAGCCACAACAACCAATAGCAGCTCCCCAACCGTCAGATCCCCCTCCTCCTTATGGAGCATATGCAATGTACCCTCCATTGCCAGATTTTGAGAATAAATCCTAGCAACAGGTCTGACCAGATGTTTTGCCAGGAAATGGTGTGAAAACACCGAGAAGCATACTGTGGTCATTAAGAGCCACTCTAGTGTTCACCAAGCACTTCTGTGGCTATAGACTATACCAAATCCCTATAGTGTGTGTTTAACTGCCTCATATAGGAGTATCTGCTCCTGATTGTTTCTTTTTTATTTAACACTTGATATCTTAAGTGCCTGCGTGTTACAGACAGACGACTGAATAAAAGGGACAAAATGTAAAACATTGCATTTATCACAGGAACAAGTAATGCTGTTTGACTGGTTTGTTTTACACCTAAAAGCCTTTCTGAAAAGTAAAGAGAAAAATATTTTCCATTCACTGGTTAACAACATTACAACATCAAGCTGGTGTTTGGCGGATTAAATCTTTGAAATGAAGTTTTGTATGATAATAAACTTTTTTTTTTTTTAAGGCAATAAACCTCTTTGGTTTTTGGATTTATTTACTTATTTTTGGTTTGTTTTTTGTGGCGTAACACAAAACATGAAGCTGACATAACTAGACATCTTTTACTTTGAGTTAATTGCTTTTAATTCATGGGGCCATCAAAATATTGACTGCAACATTTTTCTTCCTGGTATTTTTTAGGTTTTGCCAGTGTTTCCAGATTAATTTTGACTATTTAGACAGTTGACAATTTCTGGTAAGATGGGTCATTAACACTAACTTACCTAGCACGTGTTTCCCCAGGAAAAGTTGATACCTTTCTTTTTGTATTATTTCTTAACCTACTGTGAATATTATAGTGATGTTAGTGACAATAACAAAGAAGAATTTTTTTAATGTTCTTTGTGGAACTTCCCCTAAATTTATGCTATCAAAATATATGAAAAGATGTCTCCTAAGCCTTGGTAATCCCCCCAAAAGGCCCTTTTGTCATCTCTCTGAAAAAGGGGGTCTATTGTTAATGTTACTTCTCATCACTTCTGCTTAGGATTTCAAAGGGTTAAACATGGCATGTAATGGGCATCACGTGGAAGATTTACTGTAGGTGTGGTGAAATATATCATGTGATGCAGCCAGCATGTGGCAGTCACACCTACAATAAAAAATAAATAAAGAGAAACAAGGTGGTATTTTTCGCTGCCCCAATATGTGGTTGTGAAGAGACCATGCTGGTTATCCAGAGAGTGTGTGTGTCTTGACTGTCTCAAATCATTCATAATGTAATCTCATGTAAAACTCCGTCGAGTTTCCATAGCTGAAAATCTTTTAGTGGTACTGCTTTGAGAGGGTGTATGATACAAGAAAAACTGGTTTCACAACATTTGCATACTTGAAAGCAGATATAACCGGCAGAGAGTGGCTGCGCTGGGCACAACTCGCCTGAGTTTTCTCTTGGTTTTTGCAACAGATTTTTGTTTTCCCCCACTTTTTGTCATCCATTGAAAATGACCATTAAAAAATTCTCAATCGAATACGATGCCATCAACAGCAAAAACACCTTCACGAATGGAGATATCATTAACGGAAGAATTATTGTGGAGGTGTCTGGTGAAACCAAAATCCAATCGCTGATTTTTAGAGGACAAGGAAGAGCGAAGGTATGCTGGAGTGAGCATTACGGACAAGATCAAACCCACGTTTACTGGGCTACTGAGAAATATTATGACATCAAACAAGATATCTTGAGAGAATCAAGACGCGATGGTGATGTATTGAATTAACACAGTTGCTGATATGTGATACACTGTTCCTTGTTTAACAGACTGTTCAAAACAACACCTACTTCTTTTCCAGGCACTGAAGTCATTGGAAAAGGAAGACACGTGTATCCTTTTTCGTTCAGGATTCCTGATGGGTACCTCTTCTTGTCTTAATCAGAGGTTTAGATTTCCACTATGCTTCTTTGTGGGTCATTTGAATGTTTTTGTATTGTATTTTATAGAATACTGCCATCAACCTATAAAGGACCCCATGGAAAAATAGTTCATAAGGTAAAAGCAGAGCTGAAACAATCAATGAAGATTACAAAAAAAACTAAGGCCCACTTCACTTTTGTGTCCAAGGCAGACATGGGTATTCCTGGACTTCTGGTAAGAAATCATTAATCCTAAAAAGCAACGATTAAATTTCATAACTGATAGTGTTCAGGCAGACGAGATCATTACCTTAAAGCACATTTATAATGTGGGGGTCTGCTTTTTAGGAACCTCAGTATACTCATAAGGATAAATCTGTTTTGGGCTCTGGAAAGGTTTCAGTAGATGTCCATACCACTCAGATGGGATACATGCAAGGTAATTATCTTTACTTGGCTTACTGCCTTTCAGTATTCAGTT